AGGAAGGAAAGAAAAGAAAGGAAAGAAAGAAAGAAAGAAAGAAAGAAAGATAGGGGTTAAGACCAGGGTAAGTCGCTTATCCTCAGACTAATTTTTCGTCTCTCTTCGCCGTGTCGTTGAAGAGCCCACGGCGGAGTGGGCCGCAAGAAGGGAACACTCTCTCGTGAGTGAGTTTCCCTTCTAACTAGAAAGAGAAAGAATAAGAAGAAGAGAGGAATTATGAAGAGGTAGTATAGTATAGTATAGTGGAGGCCGTGGAAAGACGAGAGCGAGCAACAATTATAAACACCGTGGCAATTACATGCCTTGGGTGCGTGCACTTTTTCTTCGAGCCCTCCCTCTTATTTCCTTTTTTTTCTTTTTTTTCCTTTTGGTGAATAGCTGCAAGTCGTGAAAGAAGTCCGCAGCCTCTTGAACCGTTTCACCTCAGCGTATCACCACCACCACCACCACCACCACCACCATCATCATCAGCACCACCAGGGCCATCATCAGTAACAGCACCAGTAGCTACCGTAATACTACTCTCTACCATCTCGTTCGCGATGCCTGAAATAAAAGGAAAAAAGAAAGTGAGAGAAAGAGAGAGAGAAACAGTAACCCTTTCCTTCTCTTCTACTCATAATTGAGCCTTGGATCGTAGAACGAAGAGAGCGCGCGACTTGGGTTGAAGCGAGTGGCTACTCGGACGCGTCACGTGTGGGATCTCGAGTTTATTTGCATCCCTTCCCATCCCTTTTACCTCTCTTACCATCAGCATCTACCATCTAGCATCCACCACCACTACTAACACTATCACCATCACCACCACTATTACTACTACTACTTGCATTACCACGATGTGGTTTAAAGAGGAGAGTTTAAGGGAAATTGCTCCGCATGAAAGGACACACCTACAACTCTCTATTTCTCTTTCTCTTTCTCTTGGTTACTCGTATTGTTATCGCGTAGGTGTAACTGAAGTTTGCTGTCAACGATACGCCAGCTATTTGTCACGATCCACTCACTCACTACTACTACTACTACTATTACTCTTTGAGAAACCAAATCCACGAGAGGATTTTTTTTCGAGAAAATCTCATGGATGGTTTCTTGTCGTTGACGTTCGAAGATTAATGTCGAGATCCTATCGATCGTGTTGAATTTAATTTCAAATGGGAATATACGTACACAGCAAAACGTCAAAACTTTGCCAATTATCGCTATTGTAAATCTTCTATAAGGAAAAAAAGGGATATTTGTTATAGAAAATATGATAAATTCTTTTTAAATTGATTTGAATTCATTTTTAAACATTAACAATCTCTTCCATTACATCGTTTATAATATATTTCATTTGAAATTTTTAAAAGCTAGGCACAAAAATTTATCCAGACAAAAATTTGTTTAGGCTTAGAATCTACACACATGAATGTATGTGTGTATTCAGAGGAGAATTTGCTCGAAGGCCACCCGCAGGTTCTCGTCGATGGAGACGAACACAAAGGTGGGACATAGATAAATGTTGGGAAGCCACGACGGGGATTGGACCAAACCAGATAGGAGACAGAGAAAGCAAGAGAAATGAGATAGTGTTAGTAGGTAGGTAGGTATGTGGTAGTAGTAGTAGTAGTAAAGTTGAACTGGTACCGATGAGGAAAACAAAGCGTACGGCCACGGAGACAAATCGGAGTTCACTCCCTCGGGTTTTTCGTGGGTGATAGAAGGAACGGTAGGTTGGAGGTTGAGGCGGGATGGAAGGTTGGACGGGAGTGCATCGATGCGAACCAATCGAAATTTCAATGCTAACTGACGAGCGTGCGATCTTGATACGAACTCGATCGATATTGGCAATATGCCCGCATTGTCCTAATCGACGCTCTGAAACTACGAAAGAGATTGAAACTCCTCTACTCTCTATTCTCTCTTTTTTTTTTCTTCTCGCAATTTATAACAAATTTTCTCTACCAAAGTTTGAATCTTAATTATACGTAACGTGTACCCACCAACCCATCCCCTCGATTTAATCGAAAAGTTTTCAACTGTAAAACAATTTCTTACGTTAGAACATACGCAACCCATTCATCCACCATCACCCCCATCATCATCATCATCAAGTTAAAGTTATTACTCTAATCAATTATTTCAATATTTTAAAGCATTTCATATTTCCTAACAATAATACAGAAATAATAATCACCAATTTATATTGTAAAGTATATGATGAAACGATAATAAAAATAAAAAAATAAAAAAGAACCTAGGGAATAAAAATTAAAAATTGAAATGAATTAAGAAAGAAAAGTAAAAGTCAAATAAAAGTAAAAGTCAAATAAAAGTAAAAGAAAAGAAAAAGTGTTAGGTGGATTTGTCATAGATAGAGAAAACTTACCCTTACGTTAGTCTCTGTTGGAATAGCTCCATCTTTTGCCATTCGCGGTCTTTTCACGAAACGTATCGAGGTAATACCAATCTCTCTACTTTCTTTCTTTGTTTCTTTCTTTCATTCTCATCCCTTCCCGTTCCCTTTACCATACCCATGCCCCTTGAACGAGCTGGTTCCCTTTCTCTTTCTCTTCTTTTCTCGTCTAACCTTTTTCTTTCTCTTTACGGTCGCAGAAAGGATAGCGCGAACGTATTCCTCATATTTTATTCTGGCTTCTTCCCTGCTTTTTATTGCGGTTTGACTCGAAGCCCGAGACGAGGCTTGGCTTGGCTTGCAGCAACAGCAACAGCAGCACCGCGTCGCAATTTCAGTCTCACCCGCTGTTCAACCCGTCGGGGATCCTTTTGCTTCTACCTTTCTTTCTCTTTCTCTGTCTCTTTTACTCTAACTCGACTCCGTTCGTTTTCTTTTAAACCAGAGTTGTTGGAATTACATAAGCAAAAAGACCAAAAAAAAAACAACTAAAAAAAGAAGAGGACAAATTCAACCATACTGGTAGGGGAGGAGGGGAGGTAGAAATTCACGGCTCTACGGAGGGAATAATGATAGGAGAGAGAAAAAGAGACAAAGAGAGAGAAAGAGAAAAAACTTATTCTATCTTTTATTTACTTCGCTGATCCAAATTCTCATAGGTTTTTCGGTTTTTTTGATTCTCGAGAAAGAAAGAAACCAAGATTTTTCATGATTTATACCAAATCTTACGTTAGGGGGTTTTTTAGGATGACAACCTTTTTTTTTTTTCATCAATCTTTCATTTCTATAACTGTTGAAATATTTTCACGCTTAAATCAAACATAATTTTTCTTTGTAACGCGCCGTGTATCCTTTTTTATTCATCCCTTTTACGTGACTTCTTTGTAAAACACTTTTTTACACCTATCCCTCTCAATATTATCAAAAGGTATATATCCACCATCTCTTTGGTATTAACAATATTACAATTTGTATATTTTGCAAACGAGTCACCCATCCATTTTACTGATCTTACCCTAAAATCGCTTAAGTCTTTAATGATTCATATTTTCATTGTTATTTTACAAATGTTTAATTTAATTCCCAGATTATTTTATTCAGCAATTTTTTTCAAATAAAAAAAAAAAAAAAGTAAAAATAAAAACAATAATAAGATCAAAAATAACGTGAGCAACAAATTATTATAAAAAATATTTAAGTGCGTACCTTTTTATAATACGATCTAATTTAGATCTTATTTCATTTATTTGATTATATTTTTATTTCATTTATTTGATTTAAATTGTATAACGTTAATCAAGACCCACTTTAACGTCGGCAATCTTGTTTTCTAGAATACATTTCAGAGTCTTCTTAGAGATGATTAATAAACGAGACGCGAAAATGTCGTCAACTAGTCAGATTTATAATACTCTCCATTTTATCAAGTATAGTTTATCTATGAGTAAGAGAAATGAAAGTTATATCGTTCCATTTATTGCATACACATATTATATAAATACACACACACACGCATATATATATGCGCAGTTGACAATCGTTATTGGCGTAATTAGAGTCCATGCGATTGCACGTATCTTCGTATTATTTCAAACCTTTGTGTGTTGTACATCAAGAAAGATAATTAATATTTATCGCTGACCTGACTTTTAACACTTCCTATGTATTTGTGTATATTTATTTGAATCATTCTCGCCTTTGTATCAAGCGAATATCTCTCTCTTTCTCTCTCTCTCTCTCTCTCTCTCTTGATTGTATTATACTTCATTTTAAAAGATTGTCTCAAGCGTAGTTCATATCCAATCATTATCTTTTCGACGCGACATTTTCTTCGATCATATTATATAAAAGTTAAGATGATATATGTGTATCACATATCTAATTTCTAATTGAAACTTACGAGCAAAATGGACATACGTAAGATAAAATGATTAAAAAGGAAAAGAACAAATCTAATCTATCCTAAGGAGAACCCTAACCCTACTCTTACCTTCCTTTCCTTCGCGTTTTAACGTACTCGGGACTACGGGTTCAAAGCAAAAGAGAATTATGCGCCGGGGAAAAATTTAAATGAATAAAGAACGACGCTGTGAAACGTTATCAACAAAAAAAAAAGAAAAGAAAAGAAAGGAAAGTATGAAAAAGAGAGAAAAAGAGAGAGAGAGAGAGAGAGAGAGAGAGAAAAGAAGAAGAAGAAGAAGAAGAAAAAGAAAAAGAAGAAGTATAAAAATGTTATGCGAAAGAGGAAAAGGATTTTTCGAAAACCCTTTTCCTCCTCTCGTTTCCCCTCAAGTGGATCAACGTTTAAGCAGTCCATTATGAAAGCGGTTTACTTTGGCGCGCGTGTCGTGCTAGCAACACCTTCTTAAAAATACAACCTAGGAAAATCTCTTATAGCAACTAACGTTTTTTTTTTCTTCCCCCTTTACTTTGAAAAAATCTTTTATAAGGAAAAATAATGTATTATATTTATGTGAAGAAAAAAAAAATATATATATATATATATATTTATATATAATGAAACGTCAAGAAAATTCGTCAAAATATTAATATTATTTCTGACACGAGATATGATGCGATATTTACAAAATAAATATGAAAGTTATCTCGGTTCCTCTTCGCATTCCTGTTTATACTGTCCGAAGGGTCTATTGTTATGGATATTATTTACCGCCATGTAGGAATATAAACGAGGATTTCGTAGACCAGACACGTATTTTCCGTATCGGGACAGTATCAAAGCCAAAACAGGATTGGTAGGTGGATGTAAATCGTTGTTGTAGCTATCACCGTTTAGTGTCCTGCTTAGGAAACGATCCAGAAACTTTATGACGCTTGTTATGTCTTCCGAATGATGATGATTATTATTATTATTATTATTATTATGATTATTATGATTATGATGATTATGATACAGCTTAGTCAACTGATCGACATTTTTTCCATGATACGATTTTTGTTGACCGATTGATGAGTTTTCTTCTTCTTCTTCTTCTTCTTCTTCTTCTTCATCATCATCAGCTTCCTTTTCTGATACCTCTTTAACTTTGTACTGCGAACTTATGGGAATAAGATGACGACGTTGTTCTAGGGGATTTGTATTCTTCGTCGTGATTTCAAATAACTTTTCGTTCCTCGATGTTTCAAAACTTTCGCGATTTCGATTCCGATTTAAACTGTGTTTAAATTTCAATTATAAAAAATATATATACATATATGTATTTATTATTTTTGATTAAGGTTTAATAAATTAATGAATACGATCGATAATTTGATAGATCAATTTAATTGTCGTCACCTGTTTATCTTGTCAGCTTTATCGAACGTTTGAACAATCTCGTCCTTAAACGGAAGTGACACCGTTATTGGTCTAGAATCTGGATACAAATAACTAGTTTCTAATAAATGATGACCTCTTCGTTTGTCAGCAATTTCTTCGGGTTCATCGACAACGTCATATTTGTGATTGGCATATACAATGTTGCTGCTACTGCTGCTGCTACTCGAAGTACTCATTGAAACGGGAACACTTCGAGGTGGTGGTAAATAACTATGCACGATGGACGGCAATTTTGTTGGATTTTTCATTAGTATTCCGTACGTCATGTAGATGCACGTTACCTGAATTAAATCAATGAAAATACCATTGTGGAAAAAATAATCGACGAGAAAATAACGTTTTATTTTTTTTCTCTCTCTTTTATGATGACCCCTTTTGTTTCTAAACTATTCGACGATTAAAAATACTTAATGATGTAAATTTTAAATAAGTTATTTTTCTTTTAAAACCGTTCGTAAAGTTCTTGATAATATAGCATAATAATATTAAAAACCCTTTGAAGTTAAAAACGTACTCAAACAAAATTCCATCTACCTATTGATATGTATTTGGATTTATCAGAGATATATATATCTTGTTCTTAATTATACTCTGGAAATGTTTATAAACCCTATTATAATTAATTAGAAATGAAAAATAAAACGTTATAATACTTAGAAATAAGTTGACTGTATAAAAAGGAATTTATATGATTGTAAACTTATGGTTAGTATAAATAAACTACAACAGCTGGATCGTGTTATTCTATCTGTATAATATTCGTAGAAAAAGTTATATGTTACCAAGAAAAAGAAGAGTATTTCTTTGGATGCTGCTGCGTGGCCCATCATCCGACACTATCTTGAAAAGAACTAAAACGTCTGTAGGCACTTCGCGTTCCATTTATACCGTAGGACGTTTCGTTCGCTAAGAGCTAAGCCTTGTCTAAGGCAGGAAGTACATACAACGACTACATATCTATCCACTCGAAAGATTTCATCGCTTTCCCTTTTCGGTTTCCAACCGAACCCCCTTGTTTCACTTTTAATGTGTTCCGACATTATTTTAGAAACGAATTAAATGTTTTCATTATTATTGCGTTTGTTGATCGAAATTAACACATTGATATCTTTTACTTTCTTTTTTTATTATTTTTTATACGATTATTTTATTTTATTACGGTCAAATAATTTTCATTATATTTTAAATCGTTAACATTTTGTAAAATATTATTCATTTGAAATTACACGCCATTAGTTAATTAATAGTTCTAATTTCTATGTTCTATAGATCGATAGTATATAAAGCTGAGACAATATGACTAGAATATAAACGTAATTTGTCGATAATTGAGGTTTTGAACACAGTTCTATTCCACGGAGAGAACATGTTGGACATTTATCAATATTCAATTAATATGCGATATATGAGGAATATTAAATTCAATCAGAGTGAAAATTAACACTTCAGAAATGACAATTTCGTATATACAAATATGTATAACTGATATTTCAATAAATGGATATCTTATTATTCATTTATACTTCAATTTTATTTCAATTTAATAAGAAAGTATTGATTAATAATAATAATAATAATTTAACGATTAAATTCATAATCTTTAATTTACATAAAAAAGAAAAGATTGAATATAATGTGTGAACAAACATAATTGATTTATTTAGAAATTGATCACAAATTGGAAGTTAAATTAATGATCTATATGAATAATTATGGATCAATATGTAGAGTGCGCTATGTTCTTATACGCACTTTTACCCTTTTGTCGATAAGTTAGATTTCTTTAAAAAAAAACTCCTAAGGTAAAGAAATTTTGACGAGCCATCTAGTTCCAAATAAAAGTAAATTTACTGGACATGTTACTAAAGTTCCTAGAAAATTAGGACTACATGTGTATATGAGATCATTTTCTTACTATTATTTATTCTATGTCCCCGCGAAAACTTTTTACCAGACATTATATTTGTATTAGTTGAAACAAATTGATGATTGTTGAAAATTAATTATTATTGTTAACAATGGATATTGGAGATTCACAATTACGTCGGTTGCGTGTAACAGATGAAATAGGAACAAAATGTCAGAAATTATTTCAAGATTTTCTAGAAGAGTAAGTTTTATTAATGAACAATATTAAATAAGTATCTTTATTAAAATTATTGACAATTTTTATTGTTGGATAATATTAGATTTAAGGAAGATGGTACGATCAAGTATGTGGAAGCTGCTAAAGAATTAATAAGTCCAGAACGCAGTACATTAGAAGTATCCTTTGATGATGTTGACTCCTATAACCAAGCATTATCTACAACTATAGTTGAAGAATATTACAGGTTGCTATAAAATCAATTTAAGCTGTTCATACACTGATCTGACAAAAAGTACAACTTAATAACACATACTATTTATTTTATTCAGAGTATATCCATTCCTTTGTCAAGCAGTGTCAAATTTTGTAAAAGATAGAGGTGAACTGACCAAAGATAAAGAATGCTATATAAGTTTTGTCGACGTACCAACAAGACAAAAGCTTAGAGAATTGAATACGACCAAGCTTGGTACTCTCATTCGTATATCAGGGCAAGTTGTTAGAACGCATCCTGTTCATCCTGAATTAGTACTCGGTACCTTTATTTGTATGGATTGCAATGCAACCATTAAAAATATAAAACAACAGTTTAAGGTAAATTCCAAAAGAAATAGTTTAATAGTTGTATTACTAGTATCGTTAAATTAATTATCAACGTTTATATTTATAGTTTACAAATCCAACAATTTGTCATAATCCTGTCTGTAGTAATAGACGTCGGTTTATGTTAGATGTGGATAATTCTGTATTTGTAGACTTTCAAAAAGTAAGAATGCAAGAAACACAAGCAGAATTACCTAGAGGATGCATTCCACGTTCTCTCGAAGTTATTTTAAGAGCAGAAATAGTAGAAAGCGTACAAGCTGGTGATAGGTACTTCTATCATTGTCCATTTAACATATCTGTATCTTATTTCTACATATATTTTCATGTGAATACATTTTTTATTATAGATATGATTTTACTGGTACGTTAATAGTAGTACCAGATGTAGGTGCATTGGCTTTACCTGGTGTAAGATCTGAGCCTATGTCAAGGCATAAACAGGTTGACCAAGATGAGGGTTTTACAGGACTTAAAGCACTCGGTGTCAGAGATTTAACATACAGAATAGCATTCCTTGCTTGTAGTATAACAGCGACAAGTCTTAGGGTGATTGATTAAAATTATTAGAAATATTAAATGTTTTCAAAGTTATAATTAATAATAATATTTAATTTTTAAATATTAAAGTTTGGTGGACATGAAATGGTTATGGAAGAAATATCCCAAGAAATGATGAAAAAACAAATGACCGAGGGAGAATGGAATCGAATATATGAAATGAGTCGTGACAAAAATCTTTATCAAAATCTATCAACCAGCATGTTTGCTGCGATACACGGTAATGAAGAAATTAAAAAGGGAATAACGTTAATGCTTTTTGGAGGAGTTGGGAAAACTACTGAGGAGGGAACGTCGTTAAGAGGAGACGTTAATTGTTGTATAGTTGGAGATCCAAGTACTGCTAAATCGCAGTTTCTTAAAAGCGTTACTGATATGTCACCTAGAGCAGTTTATACATCTGGTAAAGCATCTAGTGCAGCTGGTTTAACTGCTGCTGTAGTCCGAGACGAAGAATCTGGAGAATTTGTAATCGAAGCTGGTGCTTTGATGCTTGCCGATCATGGCATTTGTTGCATCGATGAATTTGATAAAATGGATCCTAGAGATCAAGTAGCCATACACGAAGCTATGGAACAACAAACAATTTCATTGGCTAAAGTAAATAAAAAATACAAATAAAATAGTCTATTACTTAATATTTATTATATTTATACGGTCATTTTTAGGCTGGCGTAAGAGCTACTTTAAATGCTCGAACATCTATACTGGCAGCAGCTAATCCTATCGGTGGTCGTTACGATAGGAAAAAATCATTACAGCAAAACATTTTATTATCAGCACCTATTATGTCGAGATTTGATCTTTTCTTTATTTTAGTAGACGAATCTAATGAGATAATAGATAATGCTATCGCTAAAAGAATAGTTGATTTACATTGTGACAATATACAAGATATCGAGGTCATATATACTCAAGCTGAAATTATAAGATATATCAACTTTGCGAAATATTTCAAGCCTGTTTTAAGTAAGGTGAGCATTTTGAAAAATAAACAAAAATTTACTTTGATATCTGTTTTATTAATTGATCGATAAAACTATTCAGGAAGCTTCAGAACTATTGATAGAATGTTATACAACGATGAGACAAAGGACAGGTAGTGGTTCTGGAAAATGGAGAGTCACAGTAAGACAATTGGAAAGCATGATCAGATTATCAGAAGCATTAGCTAAACTCGAATGTGTAGATGAAGTTACTGTTAAACATGTTAAAGAAGCTAAACGTTTGTTGAACAAAAGTATCGTTACGGTTGAACAACCGGATATTGATTTAGAGGATGTAGACATGGAAGCAAACTCAGGTGTAAGAATAGATGATCCACCACCACTTATGGCTGCGTTCAATGAGATGGATCAGGATGATAATAATGCGCCTACTTCACGTAAGCTTATAATTATCTTTTTATATTAATATATATAACAAAAGATAACAATAAGAATAAAAAATTAATTATCTTATCACAGCAACAACTGAACAACCAGAAGTACAAAAGAAAAAGCTTACCATGTCATTTGAGGAATATAAAAATTTATCAAATATGTTAATACTTTACATGCGAAACGAAGAAACTCGCGCCGAAAACGAAGGTAGACATTTTTCTTGACGCGTTAAATGAAATCCGATTATGTTAATTAGGAACTTAATGTTTGTTCTGTTTTTTTTTTTTTTCTATATAGATGATGGTAAAGAAAGTGGAATACGTAAATCCGATTTGGTAGTATGGTATCTCGATCAAATACAGGATCAAATAGATTCTGAAGAAGAATTGTTAGAGCGTAAAAATTTCATTGAAAAGATTGTTGATAGATTAACTTATCATGTATGCATCAAAAAATATTTATTAATCTATTTCTAATGTTATCAATTTAATCATGCTTATTATTATTTTAACAGGATCAAATTATTATACCTCTTACTACGAAAGATTTAAAAAGTAAAGGTAAAGAAGCCGAGGAAGAAGAGGAAGATCCTTTGTTAGTTGTACACCCTAATTATGTTTTAGATATGTAATAATTTTGTTAATATTTTCAGTAACAAATTTCATACCAATTCAAGTGCCTTCAAATTGCTGAATATTTTTATACCTTTCATCATATTTTGTAATACGTCGAAAGATATCTGTATGAAAGAAATAAACAAATATATTTCTATTTTTTATCTAAAATTACAACCAGGAAAATGTGGTGTACATTTTTACGGCAACTTTTAATTATTATGACCTACCAACAAAAAAAGAGATAATGTTAATTGCTTTTTCTTAAACGTATGTTAATTGTTAGATAAATTAACGACACGTTTGAAGTGGGTCAACTATTAGAACAGTTTAGTTTATTCAGCGGTGCTATTCTTCTCTTAGAATGGCATTTAATCTTAATAAATAATTTTTATTTATAAATTAAGATGAAATGTTTTTCATTAAAAAGTCGTATTATGTTAAAACATTGAATGCGGTAAGATAAATTGAAGAAAGTATATCTTTTATCTGTACCTACAAAGTTTAACGAGTTAATAAAAAACAATGTACACATTTTTATCGTCTTAATACTTATCTTCATATGGTGGGGTAATCTAGAACAGTGATTAAGAGGACTCAGGTGTTGTGTCAGAAGATGATGTTCTTTGTACGAATTCACGATGTCTGAAGACAAACTTAGTACTATTTATTACACTGAGGTAAATCATAAACTTTTAATTTAAAAAAAAAAAAAAAAAAAAAAACATACATTTAAAACAATTACCGTTACCCTCATTTAATTGATTAATTATTAAATTAACCGATAGAAATGAGCATTAATTTATTTGACAATTATTATAATTATTAATTAGGAACGTCCGCGTGGTGCATGCATCGGTGATTTTGTTCTTTTGAAAAATGTGTTGTCGAAAAAGAACAAACCGATTTGGGTTCCCGTACAATTATTGGATGCTTTATTACGAGGCTATGGGCAAGTGAGTGAAACCATTTATTAAAAAAATATTGATAATGATTAAGTAGATAAAAGCCTTTTTCAAGATGCCGTAAATTCAATAGGCAAGAGACAACACACTCTAGATCTAACTTTATCTAGATCGAAATATTTGTGCAATCTATTAGGTCGTGTTTGCTAATAATCCACTAAGTGGATTATTAATAGTAATCGCTTTAGGAGCAACGGCACCAAAGATCTTGGCCTTTTCTGCTGCTACTGGTTTTCTAGGTCTTTTACTTTCCATGGTACGTGCATACGATATCAATCATTTTTTAAATATTATAATAATAATAGAAATATTTCTCGTGTCACGTTTGCGTAATTTAGAAAAGAAAAAAGAAAAAAAAGAAAATATTATGAGAAAAAAAGATTTATCATTTGCATGCAATATTTTTCGTTCACGATTATTATCTTATTTGTTTATAACGCGTCATATACGCGAAAATGTTGACACAAGTATTTTGTCGCAATGCGCAAAAATTCTCTATCATAATTTAGAATTTTATTATTGTATTCATGTAATATTTTATTTACAGTTGATGAAAGATTATCAAGAAGTTATTGAAAATGGATTGACGGTGTTCAATCCACTTTTAGTCGGTGCATTGTCAGCCAGTTTGGTACCAAATTTATACGGCGAATTCGATGCTTTTAGTTATTTGCTTATATTAATAGGAACAATAACGAGGTGAGAATATAGTTTTTTATAAACATTGGAATCAAATGATTTAACTTGGCTGATAATTAATGTTTCCAGTGTTTATCTGACTCGTTCTTTGCAAAACAATGAGATTCCGTTTACAACTACGTCTTTTAATTTGGTGGAAATATTATTACTTTTTATTCTAACAATGCAAGATAATTTAGTCGAATCGTCAAACATTCAAACAATGGTAAATATATTATGAATAATAAATGATTGACAATTAATCTCGCACGTCACAGTGATGGAGAAAAACCTGAAAAAGGGATCACTCGTAGAATGTCTACATTTCGTGACCAAAGTAGCACAATTACTTTGGAAAAGGGCTTTATTCTCATCTTAAAGTTCTGGGTATTTATATATATATTATATATATATATATATATATATATATATTTCACGCGAATTTTACGAGAGAAAATACAAACCCTAGCAACACCCTCACGCAAACGGGTATAACTTTCCCTCTAGTATTGATCAAGCTCGGTCAGAATTTCGGTTGACGATGGTATTTCTTCAACTTGGATTTTCTTATCAAAGTCAAAACCAAATTAAGCAGTCAAATATATTTTTTCTTCTTTTTACCTTTTTTTTTCTTTGCAAATACTTTTATCAATAATAATTGAAAAAAAAAAAAAGAAATCAAATAAAATATTAGAATATGAAGATTACAATTGGAGAATGTTAGGAAAATCGTAGAACATAACTGAGATATATCACTATGGCGTATGAGAAGAACTGTGTACAAACTCGAGATGTTGCTGTTAGCTACTTGTACTCTATATTCTCGTTGTTTCGAGGACAATGCAACAAGTGATGGAAGGACAAACGATGCCAGTTTTATCGCGGCAAATGTAACAGACGTTAACGTCGACTGGGGAATGGTAAAGATCAACTATCTCTTCTGTTTAACTCGATTTCAATGCATTTTGTTCTTCGAACTCGAATGTATACAATAACCTCGATCAAAGGATCGGTATAGATAAACGTAATATTTGAATAATTTTTTTTGTTTTTTATTTTTTCAACATGTATTCCGAGGTATGGTCGTCTCATCATCCCAAGTATTCGGCGTTGACAATATTGCAGCAGGAGCTGTTATTTATTTGGCAGTTTTAGTTTATTCTCCAGCAACTGCTGGATTTTCTTTCGTGGGTGTATTTATTGGCACACTAGCAGGTTCGTGTGTATAACATCCTTCTTGAACGTTAATTAAGCATTCCTTGTTGAACTATCGCATATCTAACTATAAGCTTATTTTACTAGGCTTAGAATTTAGGGTACCACACAATGAGGTATTCACGGGATTGTGGGGATTCAACAGTTTCTTGACTGGTGCCGCCTTAGGGGGTAATTTATTCGTACTTAATTTACAAACTGCTGTTGCAACCCTCGTAGCTATCGTTTACACTGTAATACTTCAATACGTCTTACGAATTCTATTAGGAAAGGTATGTTGAATATCGTTAAGATAATACGACAGGTAATCGCATTTAAAAAAAAAACAACAAATTTTCTTTTACAGATCGGTTTACCAGTTTTAACATTACCCTTTGCAATCAGCACGGTTTTGTTCGTAAAATTGCGTAGTTCTTCGTCGGATTCGATATTTCCTAAACCACTGCAGTATTCTTATCCGGAAAAACAACGGCAAGATTATATAGCGAGTAAAAAAAATATCAAACGAGATAGCGTAGGTATAATTAGATTTATTTTCCTACTGAAATATCGAATAGACACGAGATTTTATTTGCAATATTTCTTTTTTACTTGTCTTTTTTATATACCTCGTTTTTTTTCATTATCTCGACGATTGAATCATCAAGATAAACAGATATAATCGTATAGGATCTGTTAATAATACTCAAACTTGATAAATACGTAAATAATAATAAGAAGAAGATCAGAGTATTATCAAAATCAATCTTATTTGAGTGATAATAGCACGAACATCGATTATGATATCTGTGTAGCCATGTTTTGAAATATTTCCAGTCTTCCTTTCAATTCGCAGTGTATCTTCGGAGTCATAGCAACGCGTATATCTAATCGCTAAAGTTAAAACAAGCATCGAGGAATACATCTTCATCCTATCTCTATTTATTTTTCATACATCAAACATTACTTCTCTTGGGATAAGTAAACACACGCATTTGTACACGCATACACACACTTGCAAACATACAGACGATCAGACTGAAGCTTTTAGTTAGAGATCTCTATGTATCATCATCGTCATCATCATCATCATCATCATTATTATCATTATCATCATAATCATCATCATCATCATCATCAACGTGGCACCATCCCCCGAAGACGGAATGAAAACCACGCCCTTACGGAGCTGGTAGCTCCGAACAAATTGATTTTACCCTTAGCAAAGTTATTCACCTTATTTCGTAGGAGGAGTTTCAGGGAGAGTTAAAGTTTCCCTTTTGATACCGGGTGAAAAAAGGATAGTCGATTTAGGTTGGATGTTAGGCGTCGAAGTTTAAGCTTAACTCATACAAAAAAGATGGCTGAAACGAAGTATATTCAAAAGATCAACTTCTGCCCTTTTCGGTTGAAAAAAATCGACCGGAATTTAACGAGTTCTTTTTTGTTATTTTAATCTAGGTCGAGGATTCCGAGATGGACCCTGCGCTTCCTTAGAAACAGAAGATCATATAAATTGTTTCTTGGAATTTAATAAAATATGTTATGTTAGGTAATATTGTGCAGTATTCGTATTTTGTATTGAAAAAAAAAAAAAGAAAAGAAATAGTATGAAAGGAACATCGATATTAAGTCTATGTTTTTGTTTAATCTTATGATATATATATATATATACCTAAGTCACGAATAAGAATTCTTCTCTTGGATATATAATATCGAGATTTGATAGTTCCCATCGTAATATGGAATATACAAAATGATTTTTATTACTTTAGCAATTTCACGGATGAACGAGAAAAATGTTGAAGAGAAACGGGTGGAGATAAAAAATCGATAACTTTGATCGACATTCCGTGTTTACCAAAAGATTACTTTTATCCTCCGAAAAAAAGAAATTTTAATCTTAATAAAAGATTTTCTATATTTTTTACCTCATAAAATTTTATATATATATATATGTTTATTATATTGTGTATAAAATCATGGTACGAACGTGTTAATTAATTGATGAAAAAAAAAACACCTTTTGAAATTCTATAATAACGTTAAATTTTGTTAATTAAATTCAGCAACATTTGAAAAATATAAAAATCTAGAACGATAAATATTTGGATGAAATGCACTTAGGAAATAAGAAGCCACAGGTCGATCGATCAAATTTCTAAGACCCACCCACTACTTTCACTTCAGTTGCTTGGTCTATAAATTCAATCGCGATATTTTATTGGCTAACTCATGAGATTTGTAACACGTGCACAAATGCAACCCCTTTTATTTACTTTCCATTTGAATGGTCAAATATCGATTTTACGATATCCCGAAAAAAAAAAGCAAACCTTTATCTTCTGTGTGACATCAAAGGGTAGTTGGTGATGGATGCCTCTCATTGGCATCGAAAAATATCACAAAGCAAATTTGTTCATTCGCTTAATGAAAGACAAAATATGAGTAATGAAAAATGAAAAGAAAAAAAAAATAGATAAATTATATCGTTGGAGAAATTATTTTTCATGCTTAGCAATTACTTACAGTTTAGCAAAGAAAAAATATAAAAAGAAAAGAATGTAATCGTTGCGAATAAAACAACGATGCAATATAAAAGTTGGTTGTAGATCGTAAAAAAGTTTTCTTCAATCGTATAGAGAAACTAATAATATATACGACGAACCTCAACTACTCTAGTGGAGAAATTTCATGTTAAACTCTGCATGATGATGCTGGTGTTATTGCTACGATGAATAAAATCTATGTCCTCGAACAAGACGACGACGACGACGACGACGACGACTATGACTACTACTGAACTGTTATCAGCTCTACTTCGATATTGTTATCACGAAATTTCCTATTTTCATTCTATACGTTTTATTCGAAAAACTTTTACGATTTTACGTAAAAGGATAAAATATATATATATATATAGAAAATTCTTTTTACATATGTATATAAAGAAACTATTCTCAATGGGGAAAAAACTCGACAAAAGTTTCTTTTTTTAAAAGATATAAATCCTACATAAAATAGCCGATTAAGAGAAAATTCTTTATTCGTTATTCCATTTAAGATAAATCTGGATAATACGATTATGTAGTTTCCATCAAACAGAAATCCAATTTTAGGATATGGAAAGGAGAATGATATAAATGGGTGCAGATCGAAGTGGTCCAATAACAAAACTATTTCTTTTTATGATCTTCTTCTACTTCTTCTTCTTCTTCTTTTTATCAGATATACAAATATTCGATTTCACACACACACACACACATGTACGTATACATGCATATACGAATACAATTTTTATTGGAAGAAAAATAAGTGATAACAAATAGACAAATAATAATAATACATCGGAAATATATTTAAAAATATTACATATAATATTTCAACATTCTATACACAGTGTACTCTTGTGTATAAGAAAAAAAATAAAATAATATCATGTGTGCATATCACACGTGTTAGAAGTGAAACCTTCAAAAAACTAAGTTTCGAGAGAATGAGACGAGTGAACAGTTTCAAGAGTAAGATAATTCAAGAGTTTATTTATTATAATAGTATTACCATATATAACAAATTCACCGAAAATTATGAGGTTTTTTCCGAAAATTGTGAGGTTTTTTCCGAAAATTGTTCCACTCACCTTCTTTCTTTATTTCGATCGTCGGTTCGTTTGTACCCTATTTTTTGTCGAATACCTAGGTTCTTATCTCTATTTATTCTTCTACTCTTCTATCGCTCCTACTTACAAACAGGTTAGTATCGAAATTATTGTATAAGTGTCTATGCGCTTCATAATATGCAGTCGCACACAAACACACGAATATACAACCAGGAGCGATAACTACGAAGCAGAGCATAAAGAGGAGACCGAGAATAGGAAAAACTGTATAGCTATATTCTTTCTCATTCTTTCACAGGCTCAATCCTATATGTTTGTCTCTTTTTCTCTTCTTACTAAATATCATGGCCGTTACAAAGCCGCCTATCGCTCCGTTGCCTAGCCGCCTACCGCTTCGTTACCTGACGGACCGTGTTTCATTTTTTTCAAATCATTCCCTATTCTAAAGAAGTTTTCACTTCAAAAATCCGGTGGAACGTAATAATGAAGAAAGCAGAAGAAGGACTTTGTACACAAAATTAATATACGATACGGCACAAGTGGAAACAATGCGAATGCCGCAGTACCAGTACTCTATAATAATCCTACGTGTACATATATACGAAAGTTAGATCCACGTACACGAAAACAAAAAAAACAAAAAAAAGCCACGAAAAAAATACAAATAAAAAGTAAGAGAGAAAAAGAGAGTATTTTAGGTCGTTTAACAAAGAAGCAACTCGAAAATTCCGACCCAACTGGTTGAAACTGGCGCGGATCCATCGAGAGCAAAAGCCCCACTGCGGAATGGGGTGGTGGTGGTGGGTAGTGGTATGTGTTAATCTGGTTGATCGTTTGAACTCAAAAGCCATATCAAGTTCATACGTTAGAGAGATATGTCGTACAACACGTCACACTTGGGTATTACGGTTACAGTTAGATATATCACATAGATGTTAGTTATATGTATACATATATATATATATATATTACAAACGACAATAGTTCTCATTCTATGGTAATCGAAGAAGCAACTTTAGTTAGCCCCCATCGATCGATCGAGCGTTAGCTACGGTCATAGGTAAATACGTATATGCATACGATAATATGCGAATATATATCTTCCGTTAAATCGTATATGCGGTGTCGTATAACCGGCTGGGTGATACGGTAGAAAAATAAATGGCAGAATGGAAACAACGAGGTTTTTGGACAAGAAAAAGAAAGAAAAAAAAAGAAAAAGAGAAAGTACATAGAGAAAAAAAAGAGAGAGAGAGAGAGAGTTTTTCTTCAACATTGAACAGCAACCTTTTTTGCGTCAGTAGGTGGATGAAAATGATGAGGAGGTTGTGCTTCTACTACTGCTGCTGCTGCTGCTGCTGCTGCTGCTGACGATGGTGGTGGTGGTAGTAGTGTGGTAGTGGTGTGGTAGTGGTGGTGGACGATGTGGGGTAAATGTGGAGCTTGAAGAGAGGGTAGGTAAAGGATAGTTGGTAGGGGTGCTTTTGTAAGGGGTGGGGAGTAGAAGTGAACGCATCCCTGCCAGAACGACTACCTGCCCACCACCACCAGCCTGTCTGCTACACGACTCTACTACTTTCCCCAGTATTCGGCCGATCGCTAGCACTCGCGCACGCAACAAACCCCTTCGTCGTGACGTGTAAACGGGCCTTACTTTCATTTCCTTTTCAAATATTATATATATGTATATTCCTTTCAAATATATATAGAAATATATATATATATATATTTATATATACAATAAGAACTATGTTTAGTTACATTAATAGTACGTTCAAAAACTTAGAATATAATTTTCGTTTGTCTACAACATAATCGTGTATCATTTTATTACGTGCATTTCTAAGATCATTTTCATCAATCTTTCTCGTTTAAATCATATACCCTTTCTCTTTTTTTCTCTTTAATTTTACGCACACTTGGAAACAATATTTTTACGCGAAAATCTAAAAAGCAAGCGCGTGTGTGAAAATTAGTCGACTCGCAGTAAGTGACTTTCCGAGTAAAAAAAAAAAAAAACCCCCTTTTCGAAGAATTCTCGAGGCCAGAACACTCGTGTGAATCTATTCTTTTGTCATATACACCTTTGTGATACCTTTTCCCCCTTTTTCTCGGCCTTTTTTTCTCTCCCACGTTTTCTCTCTCTCTCACACACTCCTAACCTTTTTCTATTCACGAGTTTCTGATTGGCCATCGTAACATTTGCGCTAACTGCAATGTGTACAACGACTTTTGGGTTAACTCAAGCTACGAGCTTTCAACCCGTCAAAATGAAATTCCCTTTAAGTCTTCCCTTAACTTTCCCTATCTACTATTGTTATCTCTTTTGCATTCTGTATCATTTCGTTTCTCTCTCTTTCTTTTTTACCCTTTGTCTTTCTGTTATTCTATAATAGCATCAATATTTGATACCTTTAAAATAACAAGTTTGAAAAGTTTGTATAGAGATCGATGAACTCGTGACACTTCTATATGCATCTCTTTCTCTATCTCTCTGTCTCTCTCTCTCTCTCTCTTTCTCTATCCAATTATCTCGAATAGAAAAAGCTAAGAAGAAGATAAACTTACTCGGACATCAACTGAATTTTTTAAACTAACGGGATACTACATCTCACAAAAGTTACATCTTCAAAAAAATAAACTGGACAGTTACCGGAACCTTTTTTTTTTTTTTGACGAGTACTTTAACATCATCCTCATTTCCTAAGGGAAAAGAAGAAGAAGAAGAAGAGGAGAATAAATTTTTTGAATTTTTTTTTCAACGTGAATCGTCAATGGTCTGTGCTAAAAGAACATAAAGTAAAAAAAAAGATAATAATATTTTTCTTCCCGTTTTTCTTCTACGATTTTTATTTTCTATTGTCTCGCACAAACGAAGGAGAGTAGGCGAATAATAAGACCAACCCGTGAACACTTTGTGGAGTTCCTTCTTCTGTTAAACCTCCTCCAACCCTCTCCTCCCTTGTCCCTCACCTTCTTTATCTATATTTTCGATTTAAAAGTCTACTTTTCATGTTGACAAGCACAGTATCAGACTGGTTTGATTTATGAGCAGTGTAATCGATGAGAACACAAAACTATCCTGTTGCGCTTTACGTGCGATAAGAAAGAAAGAAAGAAAAAAAAGAAGAAGAAGATAAAAGGTGGTAGTGTGAGTGAATCTTTAGAAGGAAAAAATAAAAAAAAATAAAAGGCAGCAGCAATAGCAGCAGCTACGGGAATAAAACGCATCAATCAAGCAAGGAAAGTTTAAACAAGAAACGTGAGATGAATCAAACTGTTGTCTCCTCCCACGCTTCGAGCATATTTTCTTCTCGGCCTTTGGTATCAAAACAATTTGATTGTGGAAATAACACGCCTAGGAGTATGAGATAGTTTGTACTATCGCGAAATTATTTTTATCTTCGAATATTTGACACATTTATCAGCAGAGTTCTGAGTTAGATCGGAATAATTAGAAGAGAAATGATCATCTAGAAAATAATAATCAAAACTTGATAATTTTTTGGTATATATAATAATAAAATAAAAAGTATAATCGTCAAGTATATCGTTTTACTGTGTTGGTGTATTATTTTAATCAAGTCTTACAACAAACAGCTGTGTTGGTTTAGGGTGGTGGCTTCCCTCGGCCCTTGCCTCAAAGAGGCACGACCAGAAAGATTAAGAAAGGAAGAATAAGGAAGGTAGATAAGAAAAGGGAAAAATTAAGAGGTTTTGTCTCTCGGTCGGGTCCAGCTAGTTAACAGACACACATACAAACAAACAAACACATATACGGTGAAGGTGTGAAGGTGGTATGGCTAGGAGGAATCCCCTAGAAAGGAGGAACGAGGTCGTTAGCTGCTACGCGAGAGAGACCAGGAAGGGTCGAGGGAAGTTGGCCGGGCAAAAACAACCTTTACACACCACACCACATCACACCACACCGACGACGACGACGACGACAACGTATCCCTCTCGGCGCAAGGCTTATAATCCTTCTTCTCATTTCATCGTCAAATTCAATTTTTAATCTTCGTTTCTACTATTATCATTCGATACACCTTGACATATCGTCGTATCTACCCAACTGGGATATGGATAGTCGATAAAAAACAAAAGAACAAGAAAGGATATCCGATATTCAGATACTCCCACCCTCCACCACCTACAATTCCATCCACAATCGTTTGGCTTGACGAAGGGCAGACTTTTTAACAATTAATAATTGCGGTTGATACAATAAAGGCCGAATATAATCATCTACAGTTTTACGTTTTGTTAATTGAATGTTAAGATTGTTGTAACAATTTATAGGGGAAAGAAAAGGAAAAAGAAAAGAAAGAAACACGAACGAACTCAACACATTGACAACGGTACTAACGAAGCTCCCTTTAAAAGATTCTCTCTTTTGCGAAGAAATAAAGTTGTTCTCTCATCTCTTATTGACTTTTTTCTTAGCCTATTGGGTTTGTTCGAAGTTGATTTTTTTGAGCGCACAGAGATCAAAAAGAAAGATTAAAATAAAAGAGAGAATAAAAAGAAAATGATCAAGCACGGATCGAACGTTACACGCTAGAATTGAGTTTGAACTCGTGCCAAATGGTCCGACGATTCTTCCCTCACGAGGTTATCATCGATTAAATTCGTTGGGGGGGTAAACAACCAAAAAAAAAAAAAAGAGAGAGAGAAAAAAAAGAAAAAGGGAGTAACACAAAAGGTTATCTCGGCAAAAATCGATTCCGATCATCATGGGGATGGAAATTCGTAGCTGGTCACTGCCGCTAATAAAAAAATTCTGCGGCCGAGGAGAATACGAGGATTTGGAAAACGTGGTGTGCACGATCGAACGTGCGATTAGCACGATCAGATAATATCGTTTTGATGGTAGTTAGTTCAAACGTAATCAAAGAAAAATTGAGAGAAACGACGGCCATTATTATCATTCGTCGTTAGAAAAAAAAAGAAGAAGAAGAAAAAAAAGAGCAACCTCTTGCCTATTTTAATTTTTGTTTCTTTTTTACCAAGGGGTTAAAAACATGGGGTTAAAAACGTATCGGATTATAAAAAAATGGTCTTGATTATCGAGGAACTTAATCCCGAGCATAATCGTGGGATACCGTAATTGTTCCCGGTATAACTGTGACCATTTAGAAAATTAAGTTGGATCTGTAAGAGTAGGAAATTGAGAGGAGACGAGATGAAAATAATAGGATCTAAAGGGGGGCAAATTGGTATAGTACGTTGATGAGAAAGGAGTGAAAGCGTAATGCACCAAGTTTAGTCGAAGAGATGACGGTTATGCCGTCGACTTGTGATGTCGCTGACAAAGCAGTTTCGACAAACGATGGTAGTAACGGCGGCGTGGAGGTGGCACGTCTCGAAGCCGTCCTCGCAGCATTGGTGGAAACAAAGGTGGAGGCGATGAAGGCATCATCGACGATTGCTAAACGTTCAGGCAACAGTGCACCAACCAGTCCACGTCGTCCAAGATTGACCTCGACTTCCACGGCCTCCTCGTCGTTAAATCATCCCCATCATCATCATCATCATCATCAGCATCAGCATCAGCATCATCATCAACGTCATCAACAACAATATAATCATCATCATCATAATCATCATAATGAAAATAGAAGGAAGAGTCATCATCATCATCACCATCATCATCATCACCACCATCAACATCATCAACGTCGTAGACGACACGATTCTGCTCCCTGCGATTACATCGAGGATTCGATGGATCATCATCATCAACAACACAAATCGCATCACGGTGAGTATTTATTTATTTTGTCTATCTTTATTTATACGTAAAAAATAGCTTATAAAATTCTATACATGTATGACACAACTAGCAAACAAACAACAAATGCATTGTAGTAGCGTTCAACGATCAATTTAAGAAGTCTATTATTCAAGAAGCTATTTTACTTGAAGAAAAATTCAAACGTACGCTTTGAAGACGTTCTCCTTGGAAATAAAAGTCAATGGATAACCAAGAATAGCTCGTAGGAAAGTTCGAGGACCCAGTACTGTTGAACTTCTTCAGTAAGAATATCAAGCTGTAGTATTGGGTAACAAGTTTTTCTGTTAAAAATAAGCCAAGAGAAAACTTATACGAGTGTTTAAACTTTATTCAAAGGAAAGAATATTCTTTTTGTAATTAACATTCCAGTATATTTTAATGGATATATTAAAATGATAATTAATTATATTAGAAACGTTATGTCATACATGTATATATATATATATATATGAATATTTTTAATCTTGTATTAATTTTCATTTGAAAAGTTAACCTAACGAAACTATATTTATCTCTCTCTCTCTCTCTCTCTCTCTCTCTCTCTCTCTCTCTCTCTCTCTCCTGCGAGATAGAAAGCTGAGGGAGACTCGTCAGTAGCAAAGTAAACCAATTGCATGAAATTTACATACGTATCCTATGCGGGAAGCCAACTATGAAGTTGATATTCGATCGTGCAACCACTCCGTTAACTTATCCAACCCTCTGGTTATTCGATATCCTTCACGAAATTTTGCTGATAAACTTAGTTTCAAAAGGAACCCAATATTTTTGTTTCTTCAACCCTCACCTACCCTTCATTAGACGTTTTAATCAACGTTTCTTTTTTTTTTTTCTTAAATTGTTTACACTCACTTAACCAGACATTATTACCATCGAACGATAGCCAAGGATGTAAATTAAGCCAAATGATAATTAACGTAAATTAATTAACGACACTGACACAATGAAATTCGGTTAATTAGAAATAACTATAATGCAATATATTTGGATATCGATTGCCGTTATATTTTCAACTTTTAATTAACGTCTAATCGATTTTAATTAACGCTTAATTCGATTCTGTTCAATTTAAATGTGTGTTCGATATAAACGAGTATTAGCGATTTGATTGGTTGTCTCTCTGTTGTGCGTGTCCTTTATTATTCCGCATGAACGAGATAAATCGATAAGAACATTCGGGACCATCGAAATTTTCGGATAAAATCAGTACTGTCCTCATTTCCCCTTCACTCCCAACTCCTCCGATAATAAAAATGATAATTTCGATGAGACGAGGAAAAAGAAAATAAAAAAATAAGAATTAGAGATTGAAAGATCGGGTCAATTGTTCTTTTTGTGTGTGTTTGTGTGTGTACTTTTAGGTAAAGGAAGAAGAAGAGCTTCGGAAAGTCCACGAAGAAGTCCACGAAAAAAACGTAGACATTCTTCGAAGAGTCCTCGTGTACTACAAAGCAACCTGACGGATATTCAAGCTGGTCTCGAAGCTCGTCTCGAACTACTCGACATCAACGGGGAACAAGATTTGGCATTGATAAACTTTGAAAGGACAAGAGAGGCTCTCAGCGACTCCTGCGAGTATCCGCGACTGCACCGAAGTGCCTGCAACTTTTCCCAAAGCACAGCTCAATTGTAAGTCTTATACGTTAGTTAGAAAAAAAAAGGAAAAAGAAAAAACATTTATACATTATTTGTGCTCCTTCCATTTAGTTTCTTTTACCTTAAGATGGTTCTTAAAAAAAAAAAAAGAAATAAAAAAAAAACGAAGAAAAAGAAAAATAAAAACCCTCGGCTAATGTAACTCCTTGCACGTGTGTGTATTTTTCATTCAAGTTAAGTCAACGAACACACAATGCACACTCGCCGTTTTAATGACTCCCAAAGTTTCCTAAAAATATAAAATAAACAGATACTATATTTTTTAGTTTACATTAGACTATCATTATCATCATCATCATCATTATCATCATCATCATCATCATCATCATCATCATCATCATCATCATCATCATCACATCTTCTTCTTCTTCTTCTTTCTATAGTCTAATTTTAAATAGAAATTTCGTAGGAAAACTAAGAAATGTTTTATCAAAAGTGGGTCATAGCGTGATGGTTGATGTTTAGATATGATGTTCATCTTCATTCATAGTTATGATATATCGTTTTACAAAAAATATAGAATAAAGATTGAACGAATTGTCAAATAAAATAGAAAGAAACCAAATGTGTTTGAACTGTGTAATGAAACTACGTCGGTTGGTAATAGATAACCAATTGCTATAGTTCAATGTTGAAGGTTTAGGGGTGGAAAAGAAAAAGAATGGAGAAAAGTATTCTCGTAGGGATGGTCCAATGATGATGATACCTTTCCCTTGCCCTCGTCATCATCATCATCATGATAATCATCATCATCATCATCGGAGCTTCGATCTTCTTTCTACGACGCTTTTCATCCGTGAAATCCTGTATTCTAACTTTTATCTATCGGTAGAGTGAGAGAGTGACAGAGAGAGAGAGAGAGAGAGAGGATAGAAAGAGAAAGAGAGTAGCATGTTGTGACCTTTATACCCGTGACGTATGCGAGCAAACGCCCTGAACGTTGCGCTATTCTTCGTTGTCCGACTCAATTTTAAACCGAATCACTCTCTTTCTCTCTTTCTCTCTCTCTGTCTCTCTCTCTCTCTCTCTCTTTCCCTGTTAAAAGCTCTTTGATGTAGAAACTCCCTGTTTCCTATCTATTTTTCTTCCGTTTTTCTTTTTCCTTGTTTTTTTTTTTTTTTTTATTTTCTTTTTATTAAGTACAGTCAAAGCAATAAAACGGACGAACGAACGAAGTGAAATTTATTTTTCGAAATTAAATAAAAAATTTATTGCACTCGAAAAATCGATTTTTCCTATCCACCCACCTAACGTCTTCCCAATCTTTGATTAAATTTCAATTGTTTATGAGATTTCTTTCTTTTTTTCTTTCCACCCGCAAAGGGTAATTATCAATGTTGTTGATGAAACACGACAAAAAATATGTTTTAGTTGAAAAGAAAGGAATTTGTTCATTTAGAACGATTTATCATTGGTATTATTACGTTTAACGTATTTTCATAGAAGAAAATCGATAAAGTTCAGTCAGAAAATTATGCAGATATATAGTTGGTAAAACTTAAAGGTAGAAAATACTAGAATACTGGCCTCTATTTCTTTGTCTGACTTAACGTCGACCCGTACCACTTGACGTAGTTTCTAAAGTAGCGATTCTTAACCCTAGGCATTGTCGACTAACATTAAGTAAGTCAAATCTGGGTCGGGTGAACCCATTTGTTTTAAGGACAAAATTTCAACTTTGTAATAATCGATACTTCCTTTTTTATTATTACTTATTTATTTATTTATTTATTTATTTATTTATTTATTCTACTTCTTCAGGAATATATTATTGTATGGATTATACGCGAACGATCATGATGTACAAATGAAAGATAATTTATCTTTTATAACATGCACATACATATTTATCAATTATTTATGTTTTATTTAAATTTGTTCATCTTTCTTTTGCATTAAGCAAAAAAAAAAAGATCGTTATCTCGGGATATATTAAATAATCAAAAAGATCGAGAGAGTATACAAAAGAAAAGAATATTAAGCTGAATAATTTCATATTTTCATTTAGAAAATATAATAAAATATTATTATAATAAAAGATGGAAAAAAAAAAACATATATCACGGTATATAGTAAAATGAAATAATAATGCATGATTTGTCGGGTTGGGGTTGGGGTTGGAATTGGGATTGGGGTTGGGGGTAAACGTTGCACTTGATAACGTACGTCATCGTATAGGACGACGATGAGAATTATAGTTTTAAAAGCGCATCGTGACCTTTACATATGCATGCTCGTACTAAACTCCTCGCGAACATAGTCTATGTTACAACGTCAAACGATTATTATACATGCGACTTTATGCATAAAGCTCATTGTCATTCGTAATGAAATACAAGGGTAGTAGTAGGGATATTACAGTTGGAAAGAGATAGAGTTGTTTGTTCGTACTGTATGTGCGTGTGAATGTTAACCATTAAATTCAACAAATTCTCGAACAGACATAATTCATTGGAATGACATAAATACCTGAGCGTATCATAACACATGTACATCACAAATGATGAATTGATATTTCAGAAATATTAATAGATGTTATGTTATAAAGTCGAAGATCAGATCGTTTTTTTTTTTAGAAAATCTCATAACACAATGTTAAATTTAACTTTGTAACAGTTGCAACTCTCTAACAGATCATTCGATATTCCCTCATTCACGTTTATTCGAACGACAGGAATAAACATTAACTTGTCAGATTTACTGAACAATGCAGCAGTCCTCCATTTTGATCGATAGATGTACTACTCCTACACCCACGTACATATATATATATATATATAGATATACTTAGGATGTAAGTATAGTCTTGCATTTTCTTTAGTCGTTAACAATAAGAATGAAGACAGTTGGCGAATAATAACAGAAATGACTTATCGTTTTACCAAGAACTTTCGAGAAAATGGGCAAGTTTTAATTAAAAGGATGTATATAAATGGGAAAATCTCAGGAAGAAAAGCATTTCATTTCAACCGGTTGAATATCGAAGTTTTACGAATAAAACAACAGTCCTCGAGCTGTATTTATATTCGAATATATATGTGTTCGTGTTCGGAATACCGTGTTCGGTAAATAGGTTCCTAAAAAATGTTGTTGTGTGAAACCGTGTTCAGATCCAGAGCCATGAGCCAAAAACTTTTGTTTTCAGGGTTCCCGCAATTTATGAATCGTGTTATAGCGAAACCATGTTATAAGATGCCGTGTTGTATAAGGGCTACCTGTATAAGAAATACACGACGATTTTAACTTTCTTGGACAAATAAAATTGAATTTCATTTATTTGTTCAAAAATACGAATTTGATGATGAATAATATTTCAAATTGGAAATGACTTTTTTTTTTGGCAGGAAGATTCATTACGACGAGGATGAGGATTATTTGGCGTTGAACATAGCCGATGAATTAGAGGACGAGGAGGAGGACGAGGAGGAGGACGAAATATTTAGCGGTCCTGAACAAATTCAGGAACCACGTGAGACTTATCATAGGCCGAGAAAAAAACGAAAACGAAAGAGACGAAGAAGAATCGAATCAATTGAACCGGAAGAGGAAATTGTTGGTCCTGAGGAATTACCGCCTCGTGCCAGGTGGACTATTGTTGCCACTGCTTGCCTACTTTTGGCTATGTCCTTGCTTCTGGTTGGAGTCACCCTAAGAATGGCACCTATCATTGATGACATGGGTAAGCAAAGCTTTCAATCCTAAATCATTTATTTTCTTTTTTTTTATTTGGGATAAGAGCTGGGGTAAGAGGGGTATACGGATTCTGATTGGAACATGCGAAAGCTCTACGAATTTTTGTTTATTGTAACTCGAGATCAAATAACACTCGATTTAATTTCTCAATTGTTTTTGATGATAAAAAAAAAAAAATAAATCTCTCTAAAGGTTCACTTATCGATTTTTTTTTTTTTTTTTTTTTAATTTAAAATTCGTATACGTGAATACACGAATAATATGGAAATAAATTTAATCGTTGAAAGTTTTTAGCGAACGAAAGTTTTTCAACTAACAATCTAAAACTTCTCCCACAACGTTTTTTAGTTTTTGATATTATTCGAACTCAGTCGTGTACATTTATCACAACACGCCTCATGTCTGGAATATCACAATTCTATTCCAGAAAAAAATGGGGGGAAAAAAAAAAGAAAGAAAGAAAGAAAGGTCCAAACCAAAAAAACAGGGAATAATAAAATGGCCCATAAAGTAGAAATATCAAAAGAGAATCGATTTAGTCTCTTATACAAGAAAAAAGAAGAGAAGAGAAAAGAAAGAAGAAGAAGAAGAAAAAGACAAGCATAGAGAAAAAGAGATTGAGCTTTTGGATTGGGAACACGGAGAAGAGGGGAAAATAAAGTAAAAATTCGTTGAACAAAAAAAAACGTACTCATTTAGAAAATGTGTTCAGTTCGAACTTCATAAAACATTGAAGGAGAAAAAACACTCATGTTAGAGATATCAAGATGAAATTGCAAGCAGTGTCGTCAATCTTTCAATAAGAAATTTATCCTTGAAGATTCTCGGGATTCGTCGATAAAGAAAGAGAGAGAGAGAGAGAGAGAAAGAAAGAGAGAGAGAAGAAAACGACGACTTTTATTCAGTATCCGAACGAGGTAGCGACACCATCTACCGTCCGAATGGATTAGATCTATTACCTACCAACCACCTACCATCGAATGAATCAAGAATCAAGAAAAATCATATATATATATATATATCGTGTTCTAAGTGATTACTAAGGATTAAGAATGTCTACTTCGGTTTTAATCGAATTTAATTGAAAAATTAAATTAAAAAGAAAAAAGAGAACAAACAAATAATTAGCTCAAAGAAGACAATAATTTTCATCCAAGTTTCATAGTGTTACGAGAAAAAAAGAAAAAGAAAAAAACTCAACACTATTATCAAAAAGAACAAAATAATAAATGGACTTCGTTAGCCAATTAACAGGCTTTTAGTGTACGCTAGTGTACTACCACACGATCAAATTATTTCTGCAAAAATGTAGCACTTAAACAAAAAAAAAAAGCGAAAAGAAAAGAAAGAAATAAAAGAATAGTAAAAAGAGAAGAAGAAGAAGAAGAAGAAGAAGAAAGAAGAAAAAAAAAAGGTAGAAAAATGGAGTGAGAGAATTTGGTGCGAAAGTAGTAGCCTAGCTAGCCTACCATTTCGGTAGTTTTACATTGTGATTTTGGTATGTGGAAGTAGCAACCACACAGAGAGACAAAAACATACACACACACACACACACTCACAGAGAGATCCCAGGTACAAACGGCGTAGGTAGATGCACCGTATGCTCGCTGCGAAGCTTGAGAGGAGCGCTCCACGCCTCCTAAATTAAAGGCGCACGTCTGCGAATCCTCCAGTCGACCGTCGGATTTCCGTGGTAGAACCGCTTCGAAGTCGACACTCTCTCTCTCCTGTGCTTTTTTCATTTCTAAAATCTTTCTCAATCCAACAACCACCACTTGCTTTCCTTTTTCCTATCCTTGTTCTATCTACCTACGTTATCCTACGTTCCTACTATCTCTGTCTCTGTCTCACTCTATCCCTTTCTATCGTTGTGTATGTTTATCTCTGTCACTCTTGTGCAAAAAGTGTTCTACAAAGTGTGTCGAGTTCGATATCCTTCGTGTCATCATCAACGTCTAAAACTCCTCTCTTTGTCGTGCAAAACAAAGAAGTGCTTTTGTGAATTTCCACAGATTTTTTTGATTTTCTTTTTTCTTCTATTTTTTATCCTCTCGAAAGCACGTTCCGCTTTTAAGCGTGTGCGTGCTTGTCTGCTGTTGTGTGTGTGTAGTCGTGTGTATGTGTATGGGTGTGAATGCGTGGATTGGTCTTATCTATTGTTTTATTTTATACATGCAAGAGGATTATTATCTTTGAATAGTGAAGACACAATTTGAAAGGTAGTCAAATAGTAGTCTTCTATTTTGTTGTTGTTGTTGTTGTTGTTGTTGTTTTTGATAAATATAATATGTGCATTTTGTTAGAGACACGCACACACACGTAAAACGTACGAACGAACGAACGAACGAAACGTTTAATTGAATTTTTCAATGAAATTATTTTGTATTCTCAATTATAATACTCGTTTAAAATATATTTCAAACGTTGCAGGACATACTAGGATGATCGTAATTATTTATTTTTTTATTTTTTATACTCGTTGAGAAAATATTTAGTTTTAATGAAGTTCCAAAAAAAAAAAAAAAAAGAAAAGAATCATTGCATTTAGAAAAAGAGTATAAATATTATCAATCGAAAAATTTCAATCGTTTCCCGAGAGAAGTGCAATTCGTTGGTGCATATCGTAAAAGAAAATTGCATTTCCAATGAATGGGCAACGTAGATACAAACAAATTTAACGTAGAAAAATATTTCATTGCATAGGAATTATATAGTTATGGTGTTATTATTACATGAGCGAGTGTGTGTGTGTGTCTGTATATTCGTTATAAAAAAGATTCATTTGTTTTTTTTTTTCTTTTTCTTTTAGGAAAAATAATGTAGATAATTAAAATAGGTAAAAATGTATTACTACATTTTACAAAAAGAAAAGAACATTTTTTTCCTTCTTCAAAAGGGGGTTGGTTAATTAAAAAACAATTTTTTTTTTGTCTTCCATTTAAAATTATTCGTTTAATTAATAAACTATTAAATTCACATTTTTATCTTCTTTCTTTCGCGTGTTTCTGTTATTTATATATTTGAAAGAATAAGATTAATATTTATAATAAATGTTACTTCGCAATAGTAGTTTTAATAATTAGTAATATCAAAAGCAGACGTTGTCCCAATTGATTTTCATTCCCTAAAGTAAGATCATTAATCTTTCCATGCATTTCAACTAGGTCTTTATAGTTAGCGTATCAAATAACCCTAACAGGTGTTCTCTATGGAATATAACATAAAGTTACCTAAATATTATTACAATTATTTTAAATATCAAATCGTTAAATATGAACATTTGTATATTAGGAAAAGATCCAAATAAAACAACAAAATAATTCATTATTTTTACCAAGTAATTCTTTTTTTTTTTTATTCGAAATAAAGATTAATATTCGTGGTATAATAATAATAATAATAATAATAATAATAATAATAATAATAATAATGTTAAAAACTTTTCGCAGTTGGTCTTACTGCGTTTACCGTAACATCTCTAATTATAGGAACTCTCTCGATATTCGAGATGTAAAAATAGGAATAAGTTTGCCGAGTAAGGTAGGTCGGAATCATTGACTTTTTTTTTTTTTTTTTAATTGTTTCACTATTTCAAAAAGACATCCCGAATAATCTAAAAGTATCAAATAACTCTACGAGATAAAAGTAAGAAGAGAAGGGTTAGATCAATTTGAGAGATAAAAACATTCACGAGAGAGATAGTTTTGAATCTTTTTGATTGTCAGTGGGACATTTTCATTTCGTGTTGTTATACAAAATTCGAGATCGTTGATTATCTTTCCCCCTTTTTTTTTTTTTTTTTAAATTGACAATACCATCCAAGCAAAAGTTCAATTCAATAATTGTCCGAATAGAACAAAGACACACGACCCACTTCCGAATAAAAATTTTTATCGACGAGGGGTTCATTATTTTTCTGCTCGACATGACGTGTTCTCTCTCTCTCTTTCTCTCTCTCTTTCTCAAGAGAGAAAGAGATACACACATTCTCATGGTAGTACTAATCTAAAAATAAATCTGGAATTTTAAAGCCAACTCGCGAACTTTTTCTTTATAGATTTTCTTTAACTATCGTGATTTGGTACTACTTGTAACAGAAGAGAGAAAGAAAAAGACAAATGATGAAAATGTAAAACAATTTTATCATTAATTTTTTTCCACTGTGTATGTGTATGTGTGTATGTGTGTATGTGTATTCTATAATACAATAGTAGTTCTTTTTATAATTTTCTTTTTAACAATTTCCAACATACAATGCTCTCCTTTTATATTTGTATTTTTGATTTATATTGAAAAATAAATATTTTCGTAGAATATTTTCTTCTGTATCGAAATAACAATTGAATGATTCGTTTCAAATTTGTGATCTCTTATAAAACACTAGGATCGAAGTATAGAATTATTTTCAGTTAGATCTGAACGAATCGTTTCTTAAGGTTTATCTGAAATTCGATTTTCTATATATTGATAGAATCAATATATATCCAAGGAGAAAAATCTGAGGTCATTGGAGAAGTAGCGAGGTACAGCTGTTGCAAATGCAATTGGAAAATTGGTTGTGGTTTTCACTATAATATGGATCGGTGCACTTCCTTCTGCATTTCATGTGGTCATATCACCTGTTACGCTTGTCACTTGCTTGCCTCCATTTTCCGACATACGTATCCTATATGGTACTATTACTATTACTATTACTACTACTACTAGTAGTATTCATTATTATGCGAATGTCCTTATACCAGTTGAGAACTGGTATATGCTAATATTGGTAACGAGTACACGAGTACTATCGATTATCAATATCTACAGGTCCCTTCCTAGATGAGATCAGGATGGATACACGTTAAACCACTTCCAAATTTCGACTTTCTCATCATAGTCTATTATTTTCTTTTTCTTTTTCTTTTTATTTTGTATGTTCATTAAAGTAGATAAAACACGTTTCCTCCATTTTTCTTCCTTTTTTGTTCATTTTGTAATTTTTTT